TAGGTCAAAAATAAAGTGTTGTAAATAAGATTTATTGGTTTTGTTTAAATATGTTTTTCTCTTCAAATATGATTTTTTCAAATTTCCATTTATAAAATATATATAGGATAGTTATAAATTGTTTGTTTAATTATTGTAATTATATTTTTCTTTTTAATGATTATATTTTTGTTTTTAATAGTTTTTAAATGTTTAACAAACTAAAGTCAATTAAGTGTTGTGCACAATTGTTATTGGTTCCAAGCTAACAAGTGTTCTATATTTAAATTTGTATCAAGTTTCTTACATGGTTTGTGAACTGTTATTGTGTCTGAAATGAATAAATAAATGTAGATAATTTTTACGTAGTATAATATCATTTTTATAAATAATAAGGGTAAACCCGTGGACTTATCTGTTTGATACCAGAGTGTAATTTAAAACCCAGAAGAGAGTTGTTTCCCACAATGTAGTTTATAATGCTGAATCTTCATTTCGACAACATTATTATTGTTACATACTGGTTCCACACGCAAAATAGGCGCCTTGACGTCGAGTTGCGGACACCAGCCCGTTGCACCAAGTACCAAGTACACACTGGTTTCTTTGGAGGTTTAAAAGAAAATGAATGTGTTTTACATAGGTCAAATATTGGTCCCCACATTTAGTAGGGTAAGGTTGGCGGCAGGCGAGCGTGCCGCGGCAGCGGCCGTTGTGAGTGCCAGAAGCAAATGTGTTTGCGTTTCCGAACTTGTTTTCAGGTTAAAATATATAACAATTAAATTAGATGAAATGACAGTTATCGAATATGAAATTATAGAATGTAAGTTTATATTAAACCTTCATTATGTGAAGTGAATAGTCATGTTAAATAAGTTTATATTAAAAAAAAATTATGCGTATTATGCGTCATGTTAATAATATTTATATAATATATTACACACCCGAACCGTGCTACGTTTGTATGGAGTTACGCTTTTATAGGGATGCATGTAATGATATGATATCAAATTAAATAGACATGAGCGTCTGTCGCAATATGGGTATTGGGAGTGTTTAAGTTAATATTGCAACATTATGTCATTTTATTATAGTATTAATTTTAATTTAACATGTGGCAACACTTCTATAGTCTTGGTGCTCCGGCGGAACAAAACGTGCTGCTTTGAATAAGAAATGTATTTTCAAATGTGTCGAGGTCTCGAGGGGTATTCCAGCAACCTATGCAAGGAAGAGGCAGCTGTCTACATCAGTCCTTCAAGCCGGATATGAACCAGCGATCTATGGATATACTACAGTTCACTTACGTAATAATATGTCGTATCGGGAGCCTACCACAACCTCTTAAACAATAATATTTTAACCTTACCAATGTAAAGTCAACTTTTCGTACCATGACGGGCTTAAAGTAGGTTTATTATAATGTTAAAACTATGATATTTTATTGGCAGCTTTGTGACTAGAGGTGGGTGATAAATAACGTCACGATGAAAAAATCACAGTGATCAGCCGTTAAATAGTATCACCGTGACTTTTTACGAAGGAACGACGTTCCAAAATTACATAGGTTGTTCCCCCGTTCCACTGTCTCTATCACTCACATCACTACATACGCATACGACATATTTTACAAACAAAATTCCCGACATATACATATGTATGTTGTCCCAGAGTAATGTAACATGGCGAAAAAATAGTTTAAATATTTTAGATAGGATATTTATAGAGCTTTTTGTCAATTCCATTTTTAAATTCAAATTATAAAATTGACCAAAAAAAAATTTTTCCAATTGATTAAAAAAAAACCAGACTTCCGGTAATTGTCAAAAACGTCCTCGATTCGT